TGTTGCTGAAGCGAGCAAGCAACAAAAGATGTATTATAACGTTCGCATTAGTCGATTTCCATCAACTGCTGTCACATTACCACCTGGTGCAGTGTAGCCATGGATTGACGGATTTCTTTTGAAGTCTTGAACCTCTGTTTGTTTGGTTACCCGACTGACAAACATGGGCTATGGTAGCCAGGGCACGCCATCGTTGTGATGATCACAACGGGGGTCGTATTTGACCGCGAGGAAGGGGGATCGTATTTGGTCAGAGAAAATTTTTTTGATAGTTGATTTCTCTTGTTTCACGGACGCTATAAAGGAGGGGAGGGGGACTGCCAAATATCCATACAACTACTATTTCTGACAGTTGAAAATGATAATTGAATCCTGGCGACTTCCTCCCCCCTCCCTCGGCAGAATTTTGGAGAAAAAACCAGATATTTTTCGGGAAATTTCGGAGAAACTGGTTGAAGAAATTTTCCTGTTTCACATTGGGTATGTATACTCACCCCTCGACGGAAAATTCTTGGCTGAAAAACTGGAAATTTTCCGGGAAAAATGGAAAAAGTGGTAGGAAGTTGGGAAAATCTAGGAAAGTGGTAGGTAGCATGGGAGGGTCGTATTTGAGGATGGAATTGGGGGGTCGTATTTTTCAGGAAATGATCGCAACGCCATGGCGTGCCCTGGTGGTAGCGCTGATATGCGAACTCGATACGCGACCTGACTCACTTCACGAAGTAAGAGTATGTTTCAGGACTTTCGGATGTTCCTGGTGAAGCTATGGTGAAACTATATTGCCCACGGTGTTGCGATGTGTACGTTTACTTGAACTGTTCAGCTTTTTTCATTTACCTAGTTGCGAACACTGTCGTTATTTATTGATGAAAAAATAACGTAGAAGGATTACAGGTTCATTCCGCGGTCTTCACGTCATTTACACACGGATGGAAGTTATTTTGGCACTGGGTTTCCGCATATGTTGTTCTTTGTGCATCCTGAGCTTCGTCCTCGCAAACCAGCCACGCAGTTCATACCCAGGTAGAGTTCTTTTTTAGGATTGTTCCTATTACGGAGAATATTTGAGGCGGAGCTCACACCGAAAGAGTGGGTTCATACTCACCATCAGCGTTTTAAGTGTACGGCACGCTTGAAGCTTTTTGAACGACCTGAAAAGCATGAGATTCGTTATAAGCTGAGCGCACACCACAATTTTCAGCACTTGGAATGTATACGTATTGAAAGAGCTTTTTTGAGTGAACGTCCTGCGTACGACAGCGTTTTCAGTGACCAGGAAAGCGAAGATATCGATCTGGCATCTTGAGCTTACGCGCAAATTCTAAGACATGCCTGGAGACTGTCGTCGCGCTCCACCTATACGTAGACGTCCTCCCTTGTTCAACTAATCTATCCCGTACTCTGTGGGATTGTCCCTTTTTCGCGGCTCCGCAGTAAGTAAGAAAGGTTCTGTGGCCCTAGTAAGTAGCGTTCGGACCCTCCTGGTTATCCCGACCATCGAAACTCAGATTCTATTCTCAGTCTCAAGTTCAGCTTTTACACCGTTTTTTTCGTGTGGTATGAGCATTAGTAAAAGTAAACGCGAAGAAACGATTAGTGAGCCAAGAGGGCAGCATTTCCATTTGCTGGCATAAAACGAGCAGGTCCAGACAACTCGTACAGTGCGGTGGCTAGGAGTCCGTACTTTGTGTGTTCTAAACTTCTTGTTTTTTTTTCTCTGGATAGTCACTTACGGTCTACCCTCGATCACAGCTGACGACAGTATCCTTATTACGCTTCTTCTAGATTATACGGGTTCAAAATCCATCCTCTGGCGTACAACTTGCAGTACCAGCAGGCACCGCAGGTACACAGTTATTAAATTTGTGATCCTGTTGTCGATCTAGTTCCTTTCTTTCTCCTTACAGTATCAATTACAAGAGTTACCTGGCGCTCATATAACGATAACAGTTTACTTTTTGATTATTTCTTTTTTCCTACTCTCACT